TAGTTTAGCTTTAATACATGTATTTTTGTTTATCTCTAGTATGTAGTATATGTATTCATGCATTTTGTTTCCATGTTGAACCATTCATTAAATGATTTTTACACTTCATTGTCCATAGTATATTCCCAGGCTGGTATAACAGCACTGGCTTGGTTTGTTCAAGCTCTATAGCACATCTTGCATCTAACTCCCAGGACATGGAGCCCCATATAACCCCATTCAGCAGTAAGCGTTCTACTGAAGAAACTTTTACGCTCGTTAAATGAGTAATCTATTTTTAATTCACAACTTTATTTGATGGATATTGCCAACAAATTCTGTTGCAAAAAATAGATAAAAAATAGTAGATAGAAAATAATAAATAAAGAAATAGAATAATTCAGCTGAACAATCTAAAGACCTTATAGAGAATTACATAATTTGGAAAATGTTTGTACCAATTAAAAATGAGGAAAAATAGAGGAAAAAAGGTTTTGAGGTAGAGGAGAAGATGTGAAAGATGAACTATAGAGGACCAAAATTAAACCAGGGAAGAAATCCAATAATTTTTTCTTCCGGCAAAATTGTATGCCTGAATACCTTAGTGCGACAGTTATCCAAAAAAAGTATTTTATGTACATTATGGAACTAAAATATAATCACTGTGCAGATGATAAATATTGAATCATTAAAGTGATTGTCTGGAACTCTAAATGAATTACACATTTTAAGAATTGTATTAAATTGACCTCCTGGCCTTAAATGTTGATATAAAATAAGTCATTTTATGAATTCTAATATTACGAGTAAGTCCCGCCTTCCTTTCTCTTATCTATATAGCTTGAAATCCACAATGCCGTCCATGTTAACCAATCAAGTGATGCCAAGGACTGTCAATCATCGCGCTCGTATATAATTCGAATATTGAATATATATACATATATTTGAACGGATATTAGACAGCCCTTAGAATTTGAAGCTGTAATGGGCATTATCTTTTTTATATTATGTATATAAAATAGTTAGTTCGCCTGACGTGGCTAGAGGGGTAACAGCTTGGCTAGCTTACTAACTAGAACTCTCTGGAACTACATGAAAAGTGAACAAATAATCAGCGGTGATTGACCCAAGTATATAGACTAACCTAAACCATAATCAGATCCTCTGCAAATGTGTCCTAAAATGGCCTACTAATGTTAATAGTTACTTCCGGTTTTACTGCGTCAAAAAGTGATCGCTTTTTGACGCAGTAAAACAGTATTTTTGTCATGAAAACATTTCCAAAAAATTCTGAAAATCTCCATGCACATGTGTGAAGAATGTATATGTATAATGTATTCTCTGATTAACATTTAAATGTGTTGATTGATTGATATGTGTTATTGACACAAATAGCTAGCCATAGCTTCGTTAGCTTCTCACACAGACAGAAGTAAAAAGTGACAGGCGCTGAAAGCCTGTAGAGACGAAGTGTGCAAACTACTGTCCAGATGAATTTTAGGGTAGCTTGCGATATCCAGGTTGGGGGGCACTCTAAATAGAAGCATGAGCCACCTCCACTGGTTCTTCTCAACGTGGAGAAGCAGCGGCTCTACTCCAAGCCCCTCTGGCGTGACTCCTCCCACTCCTCAACTCCTCCACCACATCTCCCAGGGAGCACTCTGTGGAGCCGTCTCATTTCAAACACTGCTATCTGCAATCTGGTCCTTTCAGTCATTACCCAACGCTCAGGTCCATAGGTGAGGGTGAGAACATAGACTGGCAAATGTAGGGCTTTGTCTTTTGACTCGCATCAAAACCCTCTATGATTTAATAATGTTAATGTTTAATGCTATATTAAAATACATTCCAAGCAAAGCCATAACATATGCATGGCAGCGAGCGGGTAGACCCCAAAATGAACATTATGATGAAATACTTGTACATGCATCTGTCACAAGTATTGCACCATTGTAACGCCCTCTTCTTACGTCTTGGAAATGAATCAGTGGCTGATAGCTTATTAAAAAATCTTCACGTTCTGACTTGGACAAGAAACATATCTCACATTACACCTACATCCACATTTCTTAATTGGTTCTTAATTCAGGCACAGATTGACTTTCAAATCCGTATGCTTATTTATGAATATATTACTTGGATCTAAACATTCTTGCTGTTCCTTGTGTAAAACTGGAAGTAGCAGCTCGCTCCCTTTATGCTCCTTGTGAATGGAATGCCTAAGAACATAGAATCTGCTCCGATGTTTTGAAATTTGTCAATAAGTTTTATAGCAGACTTTTTTAAATCTGCCTCTACCTTTTACAGTATTTTGTGATTTACTGCCATGATGTCACTGCTGAGGTTGAGCACAGTGCTGGTTTGAAATGTGCTATATAAATAAAATAGTTTCCTTCAACGTTGGGCAGGTGCTGCTTTGAGGCCTGTGGGGTGGACTGCCCTTTTCATTCTTTGTGCACATTGTGATGGCTGCAAACATGTTTTCCAGAATGTCAAAGCCAACACCTGCTGCTCCATCATGTGGCAGATAAGAATCCGCAGAAGGGTGAATGGCACGCTTATTTGTACCATATAGATTTTAGATTTAAAAAGTTACATTTTTGTGCCAACTTGAACTCCATCTGCTTTGACTGTTATTTTGGAAGCGTGACGATATATGTAACTCATCTGTCTTAGCAACTCCGTTGGGTGTCTATTTAGGGCAACATATGGTAAGGGAATTGCCTTTTTTTGGTTTCTTCCGGTTTTGGACAGTTTGGGTTAAAACACTTTCCGAACAGCAATTTGGCCTCACTGGAGAAGATGATATTACGGACAAGTCTGAGGGGATTTCAGAAAATTTGAGGTTGAAATTTAGTAACTACAACTGCGTAATTGAATATGAAGTGTACATTATTGTTGATGTACAAGCACAACTATAATGTAGTTGCTTATATAAAACAATAAAACATATACTATTAACTATAAGTTTACACTTTTGCTCATGATATAACTGATATTTGAGTGGATGGAGATTTTCCATCTGACAATAGGCTTTTCTTTCATTCCTGCATGAAAAGGTCGCTGTCTGTCAGGCAGCTTTAACATACAGTAGTGCGTTTCTCTCATACACGTGGGCTGCAGGCGTCTGGTCCAGACATCTACAGTCGACAACCTTGCAAATCATTATCTGGCTCAAGAAAATAGGCAGACGATCAATTTACAATGTTTGTGCATTATTTTTTACAACCCACTGTACTGTAGTACAATAAGCCAAATGTTATGATGGGAAAACAAAGCAAATATGATTCCTGCCAATACTGCTTTCCATTTTCTGTCTGATTTCTTTTAACACTTCATTTCAAATGTTTTAAACATTAGTTTGGCAAAATCAAAACAAGAAACAACTCTTGATTGTGCGTCGTCTTCATTTGCTCTCAGAAAACAGTTAGGTGCAATCAGCTGCAGCTTATTACATTCTTGAAGGAGTTTCTTATTACTGACTCATGTGAATAGAATAGAATAATGTGGATGGAATAATTGACAGCCTCAACCTTGTATGAATGTGTGCACAAAGGTTTGCCTCAGAGCGGACACCACATCAGCATGTCTGTGTGCAGGGAGTGCCCACATTGTTTGCTGTGACTTTGTAAAGCTTCATTCAAATCAAGTCATTTAAATCAGTTGTAATGGTTTGAATCACATGATGGCTCTTTTGCCTGCCTATTGTTTGCTCTGCTCTTTCCACTCTGTTTGCTCTCACTCATACCTGTTCACTCGGCTGATGACATGCGGGCCACCTGTGATCATACTTAAACATTATAAACATGACATTCTTGGAGTAGTGTGTGTGTGTGTGTGTGGCGGGCTTGGCGGCGTAGGCGGGAGCTTCACACTGATTGGCTCGGGGACAGGGTAAACCTGAGTGGCAGCCCTTAATGGGAGCCCTGGAGAGGTAACCCAACAGCTGTGTGTTCGTAGCTAATGAGCAATGGGGGGAGGAGTGAAGGATCACAGACAGTGCACTCCCATATAAACTCAGCCCTATTCCACAATTGCTGGAGGAAAATGATCTCCCGGGGACTTTCACAACTCAATGCTCTTTCTTCAATCTTCAATCAGAGCCTTTAACCCTAACCCTCTTATTTTAGATAATTCTGTTTGACTGCTAAACCAATGTGTTTGTCTTAGGAATGATGACTGACACTGAGCTTTGGAATAATAACGAAAAAACATATCCAGGGAACACGACAACTTCCCAGTCATTTTGAGTGTTGAATTTGATGACAAAAATGAGACATGTCTTTACATTGAGACTTCACGCATCAAGAATCTGAGTATTTCTCCTATTTCTTCTTATGCAATATACATACCACCTGCGGATGGCGCCAAAGGAACAACGAATCAGACTGGCTTCCATTTTAAGGCGACTTATTTAGCCCCCATTGCAATGCATATCAACAAGTTAACGGTCAGTCCACGATACATGTTACGTTGCATTACTCCACATGCCACCACGACATGTCTATCTAACCTCCACACGCCGGGAGCTGAATATGAAAAGCAATAATGCGCAGCGCACGCTTTTGAAATTGCCACACGTTTTATAGTAATCGTTTTCAATTTGAGGTGACCCACTTTGATGTGATCGTCTTAAACTGAAGGAATCACACAATTTCGTGGTAGGCAGGCGGGTGATGTGCTGTTGAGTGTGAAGTTGCTGCGGTGGAAGGCAGCCCCACCTCCTCCCACGCTTTGCTGAGCAGCGAGAGAGGAGAGGGGAGAGGAGAGAGGAGAGGCGAGCGCTGGAGCAACTCAGCAACACATAACATCACCACTTGCTCTCTGGAAATGCTTCAGATTTGCTTCTTATATCAAGACGTTTATGCGTAAAAACGGAAAGAGGAACAATGACAGTTGCGTCCCAGGCTTCCACCGCGCGCTTTTGTGCCACTTAGAGCGTTTGGACAAACTTGGACCGAAGAGGATGCGCCAGCCAGTGCTTCGTCTTGACCGTGAACATTGAATGAAAAGGAGTGGACATGGAGCGCAGCGCGGGGCCCCTGGACGGAAACTACACGTTTGTCATCTTTAAGTGAAACCCCAGCTGTATAGACGCTTTTTTTTTTTTTTGGAAGACGGGATTGTGGATTTTGAATGCTGAGGAACTTACGGGGTGCATTGAATGGATATTGTCAGTGAAGTTATTTGGCTCACCGTACTGTGACAAAAGGTTTTTTTTTTTGGGAGGGGGGACTTCGGATACACACAAGCCCGTGTTATCACCGGCTGGATTTCAAGACGCGCAGATTCACCACTTCTCTGTCCAGGTACAACCCTCAGCCTACAGAGCCATTAAAAAGTTTGGATGGAATAGTTGCTCGTGAATGCTTTTGACAACTTTGATTCAGACTAAATACGTGCCTGTTTGACTCCAGCCAGACGCCACAAGTTGCCTGTGGTGCACTTAGTAATAAAGGAGGCGAGGAGCGGCAGCTGCTCTGTGTTACAGGTTGGTTTTTGACAGGCGACTGTGAGTGAAAGCCCTGCTCTGTGGTCAGGAGGTGCCACTGGCTCAAATACTGCGTGAAGAAAACCCCTATTGCCTCCTCATTCATCACACACGCACTTGAGAAATAATCACTTTGCATGTGAAATGGACACACTCATTCACATTCTCAACAGTCCATTCCGATTCGTGATTAGGCTTTTGGAAATGTGTCCATGTTTCCCTTTATGTCATACAGTTAATTACTTGTATGGTGCTTGCATTGATTGTTATAATTGACATGGGATTTCAAAAGGAAATTTGATACATTAAGGTGTTTGCTCTTCTGTGCGCGAATGCATGCAGGCTTTAGTTTTTGTAATATATATGGAAACACCGACGTCAATGCGAACAAGTCGTCGGCAATTGCGCTTTAAAGAATGCTGCACATAATTGGCGGAGAAATGTTTGATCTCCGCAGCCACACGTTACTCGCCGTGCCCTCTGCTCAGTGTGTCTGGGCTGTTGTTTCTTTGGCTTCTCTTTAGACCACCAGGCACATTTTAATAGCTGATCCACATAGACATGTCTTATTCTGGAGACCCATCAAAGCACCGCATCCAAATGCTTCATAACCTAGTTTTCACATCCACATCTCTATTGCCTTCTCTGCATGAATATATCTCCTCTTTTGTATAATTGAACACATGCCAAGATAAGAGTTGGGCAGCAGTGAACTCTACCCTGTCCCTGTTGTTTCCTTGACTCAGGTATTGTCCAATAACAGCAGATGTGACATTTACATTTCACTGCTGGCCTTTTATGTTGCAGAAGAGGAATGCACTTTTTTCATTATTGCTGTAAATAAAGTGAAAACAATGTTGACTTTAGTTTTAGTCACCTCATGTGCAGCAAATAACTAAGTGCACAACCTGAAGCCCCGTTCTCACCTCTGCTGTTGCTTACAGGCATCTGATGCATGTGGTGACCCCTTAACTGTATTTCTGGATCCACACTTTTCTTCTTGGTGAAGTTATTGAAATGGCCATGCACTTAGCAAGTGTTTGCAGCCAAAGGCCACTTGCTTTCTCACCAGCTCTCCAGGCGCTAAAAGTGTACAGCAGCGAAACATTTTGCAGTAAATTCTATTGGTAGATCATCTGAAGGGAGACCCATAGCTGCGATACAAGCCATCATAAATCATGGCTGTGGAGTGTAATGGATTTTACCTGTTATACTAGCTAAAGGCGCGGAGTCAGCCAATATATCAAATCGTATCAGTTGGGAAAATCATTAAATCATCTGTTATCTTTACACACACTGGCAAAGCAGCAGCACAGCCTTCAATAGGATCCCAGCTCTGCGATTGTTATTTAAGTCATCAGATCTACAGGGGTGCTTGTACACACATGACATCATTAAAATGCTTATCTCATCATTAAAGAAAGGTAAAAAAACTATGAATATGATATACCCTGGACCCACCGATAACTGTTGTACAGCATAACATTTAACTTTCCCGTGGCAAAAATACGAAAATAAATAATATTAATGATAAAAAGTAGAAATGTGCTTGACACCACACCCAGAATTTTCACCTCTTCGTGATCTACTGAAGCATGCATCTCATTGCAAGCTCAAGTTATTTGTGCTGGACCTGTGGAGCGCTGGATTTAAAGAGCAAATGTCACCCGGTCAGTCACAAGATAGTATCTATGGTAACTGGAAAATATGCATTTGGCACTCCCCTTGTGTAATTATTTTAATCTATTAGCATGTACTTGGAGGTATACTCTTTGTAGGTTTCTTTCTTAGTTTTAGGCTACTCCTGGTGGCTGGCTTTCGAAGATCTTTATCTAAAAGAAAGACATTTAATTCAGTGTTTTTAATAGATGGATGTGATAGTGACCCATTTTCCACCTGAAGCCCAAAGTTGCTGATATGTTGTCATTTCCAACCACCAAGAGGTCGACAGGAAGATGAGTGATGCATTTTCATCTACGCTGAGGCAATCTTTTTATTCAAACTTTTGAAAGAGCAGGCGTTGACGTTAATTCAACCAAATAGAGAATCTTAATGATGAAACAGAATAATATTAAAACAAAATAGAAGGCATTACTCATGGGTTAACCTCATTTTTTCCATTTCCTCCCACCTAGAAAATGCCAACATACCTGCAGACAGTTTGACAAGTGCCTGTGGTGTGAAAGTCTTTTGGCAAAACTCTCAGCAAAGTTTGGGGGATGGCTGATGTCAGAAGTGTCCAGGGGCCAGGGGTCCAGGCTGAGCTCTCATTGTGTCTGACAATAAACATCAGTCTATGGAGTGTGTATTGGTTGAGGAAAGTGTTTTTTATTTATTTCTATTTTATTTTTTTTTATAAAGGAACCGTTTTCTTGAAGCCGTCTCTCTCTTTTTGAAGCAAGTGATTGATTTTGAGGGGAGGTAGTTGACCTGTTTGCAGGGCTGGTTGCGTCAGCTGGGTGGTGCACTGGGCAGGTGAGGCTTCATCATCAGTCTGCTGTTTATGATGTGCAGCTGCCAATGGGACTTTGAAATACAAGGGCAGGGTTTTGGAATCTTAAGCACCGAGACTGAGACGTAAAATCTAAATGTGCTATTACTTACAAAGAGATCTTTGCATAAGTAATTACAGGTAGCTGATTATTATCTTGCCATTTCTGTTTTTTCTTTCCTGAAGTAAGGGAAGTTAGTGAGCATTGCTAGCTAATGTAATGGTTTGCAATAAGCTCTAAGATCATGTGATAAGATGGAGTCAATCTAAAACAGTACAGGCCAATTGCAGCACAGACCTCCTAATGAATATAACATGTAAAGTTATATTCCCTGGGGAAGAATAACAAGCAGGATAACATGGTTGTAGCCGAGATAAAACATACATCCATATGTGTTTTTCATGCAAATATGTACAAAACATTTTTTTTGTCAGTAAGTCAGTTTAAGGGTAAGTCAGTTTAAGTGTAATCAATGTGATTTACGGACACTGTGCTATAGTATGAATAGTTTGTGTTTTTGTTGTTTAAATCTGCAGTATCTAACTATTTGTTTGTTGTTTATTTCATAAATAGGTTTTGTATTTATGAAACAAATATGTTGGTCCCATCAGAAAAAGCACACAAAACATGCTGTCTCATTCTATTTGAAAACATGTTATATTTTACACACATAGAGTTAGCATTGATTTTAATATGTAACAGAAGCATGTAAAAACTAGCTATGGAACTAAGTTAGGTACGCCAGCTTTAAATCAAAACTTTTGGAAAGCCCCATCTGTTGTGTGGGCATTGCAAATGTTAGTTTAATTCCACCACAGAGACGTGCTTTGCCTTAATGCATACTGCAGGCATGTTCCAATAGCCTGAGAATATAATATCAATCCATAATGACGCTATAGATGCTTTGTCATTTTCCCCTCAGTGTACTGACAGCAGCAGACCATACCGCAAACACCACACATCTATATTTCAGCGCGAGCATCAGGAGAAGTGACAGCAGTCTTCAGGCTGCCTCTCTTCAGAGCAGCACTAACTACACAGGTCAGAAGCAGGTGAAGGCACATAGGGACGAGCCTCTGTGTGGATGCTGCTCTGATGTGAGCGAAGGCCAGGCTGAGGATGAGTCACAGAGCCACCTACAGTCCATAATCTGCCCCAGTCCTGAGACCTGACCCCCAGTGATGGTTTATATTAGCTGGATACAGTCCATTTCTTCCCTGGTGCTTGTCCCGACTCGTCCATGTGGGGTCAAACAGGGTTACGTCAAATACAAACACCACAAATCTTGACTATATTACACTATTTATTATATTATGTTATATGTCATAGTAAATATTGTATGAATTAGCATTGTCATGATATAAAATTACAAACTCGAAACGTACTGTAAAAAAATACTTGATACCAGTGATCATGTTCAAAAAGCTGTAATTCTTTAATCATAGCACTGTTTTTTTCATATATCTGATTATTGATAGTATTTACAACCTCATATGAACTACACACTACAAATCATATAAAGCTAAAATTATAGAACAATATTTTTTATTCTTTTATTTTTTTTTTCATCTTAGTAGAGTGACTGACTGTAACGTGAAAGGAGCTAAAAGTATCAGTCATACAGTAAGTCACCGGGACAACAAAGTAATAGCAGCCCATTTGGGAAGTAACAAATGTGTCTCCATGAGCTCTCAGGCAGTTTGGATGTCTTTGAGGCCAAACTGTGTACAGGCTGCCCTCAGCTTTACTCTGTTTGAACCATCTGGAGCGATACGTGAGCACAGCGGGCGGCGATGGGCTGAGCGCAGCGATGAAGCTTCCACATCAAGTTTTCTCTATGGATGTCTTCATTGGACACAGAAATACACAGATAAGCAAAGAGGACGCCTTGGAGGAATTTGGAAAAATGAAGGATTTTTGTTAAAGAATGAAGTAACAGGGTAATTTTTTTTAGAAAGTTTAGTGTATGTCACCAACTAATCCAACCGTAGTAGTAATAGTAGAAATTATACCCTTTATGTCAATTTTGGCAGAATATCTAATTGTGATATCTCTGACCAACATTGCGATTGTGATAAAAATGTTTTGTTCAGAGTCAAAAGAAAAACTTCTAGTGAGTTTGAAAAGTTGTACACAATTCCTACACATTTAAGACAATTTTTAAGTAGTTCTAACTTCTTGTACAACCATTTATGTTGTAGAATCACAAGATCCACTACAAAAAGTTTGTATATTTTCTCACAGACGGAAAACTTTTACTTCAGACTGCAAATAAGACAGTGATCACCATTAGTCATATCTGTAGTCTGAAGGAAATTAACAACTT